GAAAGTTTAGTTGTTAGTATGACAAATCAGTGTCAAAACAAAATCTCACCCCACTAGTTTTGTAAACTTTTTGAGCAAGGTAAGTGGGTAAATGATGGTATAGCGAAACACAATGTTTACCATATCATAGTAATGACCAGTAGTAAAGTAAAAATTAGATTGTCACCTACATGAAATGTCTTGTGAAGTAGTAGTGGCCTCTATTAATTTAAAGGATGTAGGTGGCACCTCCATTAGTGACAGTTTTCCACCCTTTGTGGAGAAAATAAATATTATTTTATGTGTATCAGCTAGCAATCCAGTGGCATAGCAATATAAAATGGGATTCGTTCCAAATAAGTTTAGGCACATATTTTGCTGCGCCTAGAAATAGGAAATTATTTATCTTAATAGAAGCATTTAAATTTGCAGTAGTTCCAGAGTAGCAGGTGCCTCTAGAGATCTCCAGAAGGAGATTTGGTCTGCCTAATTTACATAGAGAAACAGACAGACATAGGGGTATTTTCTACTATGACAGGATTTCCTAAGATTAGAAAGTCTATTTCACCTGTAAATATGAGCTCCAAGTAACATCTATCATTTTCAAAAGCAGTATCTTTTTGAGATTGTCTTGTGAAAGAAGAAATACATTGAAATGACCAAGGTTGAATTGTCTGTAATCACAGCACCAAAATATCATACTTACTTCATAACCTCAGCATTTGCACTTGCAGAAAAGACAAATTAATCACGTTTTTAAATTATAGGGAAAGAAAGAAAAATAATTACCATTATTATTGCTTCCATGTGCAACTGACTTTGCTTATCATGATTGCCTATTAGAGTGATAGCTGCAGATTGCAATACATAAGAGACTATGCACTGAACCCATTATTTGCCTACCGTGAAGATAAATGAATGAAGAAGAGCCCATCATTTAAAACGCTCCAAAACACCAGTTTGTACAAGTAAGGATTTTTACAAAAGAAGGTGACTTTGTCAAGTCATTTTCAGCACTGACTGGTTCAGCAGAGTTCGTGTTAGTTCCTCTAATTGCACCTTGTTGCTGTGAATACAAACCCATGGAGTCCAGAGCACAGATTATAACAGTCAGGGTCCAATGGAATCAAAAAGTTCTATTGATTTCTGGTAAATCCACAATTTACAGGAAAAGAAGGAGGATTACTGTGAGCCTCTCACAAAGAAGTGCCCAGAAATTACAGCCTGCTGGGAAGAGATACTGTCATTTATGCAACAAGTTTGATGTCAGTGGTTTAAAGTTTTTAACTGAATGGAACCTGGAAAACAGTATTTTTAAGCATTGTATGTTTACGTATTTTAAAGCTGATTCTTTTCTTGGGATTTTTATGCACATGTATATCTACCTTGCAAGAAAAGAGGAGATACTAAGAAACACCTGTTCTTTTCTGCATGCAGGGCAGAATGGTCTTTTATCTGTTTTCTTATGTACACATTAAAGATGAGCAGGCAGGCATCTTTAAGATATCTGTTCTTCTTTTGCTATCTGATAATATTTAGTCATTTATACAATAAATATGTACAGTCCGATTTTCTGAGAGCTCACTGGACCCTCCCTCAAATGGTGTCTCCCTTTGCATCTCAGAATAGTCACGTTCTTGCCTTTATGCTGGGATTCTTGAAAGTAAGAAAGGAAATTTAGTGTAACTGGTGAGAAAAGAGGTCATCTGCTTTGATGACAAAGAGAAAAGAAGGTTTCAAAAAGCAATGAAGCCTTCTAACAGTTTTTCTACCCTGGATTTAATAGAGAGAGTTACTTTTTTTGATCTGGAAGGACAAAATGTAATCAGGATATATTCTTCAATCTGACTGAAATTATGTATTCTAAATGCAAAAGTGGTCATCCTCTTCAAATTAGTCCTTCTATTGTTTAATCATCTTTTTTTAACCATTAGAAAATAATATATAATCATAAAATCATATTTTTTTAAGATCTCCCCAAATGTGTATGTTTATGTATATATAAATGTTTGTATATGCTAAATATTTCTATTTAGAAAATTATACATTTCTAGTTTGTGTGTTCAAACTGACAACCTCTTGAAAAGGCTCAGAAAGATGACACAAGGGTGAAATGCTTCAGACCAGACACGAAACTGCAGGTGACTACAGTGCAGATGCCAACATGTGGGCAATGTACCCAAACTCCTTTCATAATGTGCAAGACTAAAGAACTACTGTTCTTATCAAGAAGCACACATTTACATATGTCCAAACGAACAGCTCTCTAAGGTCCAGGGGCTATATCTACGTATAAGGGAAGCTTAAACACCTAATGTGGGTGCCTGATGAAAGAACTGAATTCCACCCCTGACGCAAACAAATGTCACAGGTTATCACTGATTAAAATACATTTCAGTCTATTTCACCATTTTTGCTGCGGAAAGTACCAGAAGCAAAGCTTCTGATTCTTTGCCGCATATTGGTATTTAAAAAGTGGCAGACTGTTCAGTCCTGAATGCCTTGGTACCATGACAGCCTGTACAAGCAAAACAAAATTAGGCTATATTTACCACTGTTAAACAGAGCTCCAACTGTGGTACAGAAGGAAGGACCATATCCTATCATGACAACATGAGACAGAGAGAAATGCTACTTCGATATCCTGCATCTTGAGATGTTTAAAAGCTGATGAAGAGTCATATGAACCTGTATTACCCCTCATTTCCTTTCTCCTAATACAGAGACCAAATGGCTACATACAAAACACAATCAAATAACAAAAATGTACTTGTTTAGCAAGCAAGGTTACAGTAACATGGAATTTTTATGAAATATATATGGTTGCCTCCATGAATAGCAAGGTATATATCATCCTGCCAATCTGTGTCACCTTAAAGCTAAATTAAAATAAATAAACTTTTACAGATTTCAGGAATTAGTTCTGAAAAACAGGACAAGTATGATTTTTTTCTACTAAATCAGCTGTTTCAAATTTTTGAAGTGAAGTAATACCGCTTACAAAGAGTGCTAGACTTAAGTATGACTCCGTCAATCTCTGAGGCAACACCACAATTCATTAAGCTCCCCTTATTTAATCTGTCCATCATAAACTCAGTATGTGATTCATCCTTTTCATATCACAGAGGACAAAAAGGTGATCTTTTGTATGTGTATCTCTAATTTACGGTCCCCATCCTCCGTTCCCAAGCAGTAAATGTTACAGAAGAAAGCTTTTTCTGCAGTTTCTTCAGCCCTTTTATCTGAGGAAAAGCAGTTCTATGTTGGGTCTCTGAGGAATTTGATGCTCTCTTTATCCCCTGACCCTATTTCCATACTCAGATCTGCAAGAAAGGAAACTATCCCATAGAAAGATAACGTATTTGGAGATTAGTAATATTTGCAGTATGTAAATTGTATGTTCTTCTCCCCAAGACCCTCTCTAGCCTTTTGGAACACGGTCAAATAAGCTCTCAAAATGAAATACCTTATAACTGAGTTGTTCTATTTCACCCTTTGAGATCCTCACTTGAGGAGGAAACAACAAGACTCCTAGTCTCTAGAGGAAAACAACACAATGAACTGTACAGTGCAATTTTAATATCAAAGGAGGGCATTCCTGATAGATGAAAGACCTTGAGACTTATCCAGCAAGACTTGCAATGTTTTTCTTTGCACAGTAATTTGTAGTTCTTAATTAAGTCATAGCATCTCTTTGGAGGGAAAATTGTATTCATTTTCTCACCATTGTAGTCACCATTTTAATAAAGAGAGACAAAAGCATGCTGAAGCCAGAGGGCTACAGAAGATATTTCTTTTAAGTAGGAAGGAATAATGATTGCCTTTGAGCTTCAATCTGGATGCCACTTCTCCCAGAAAACAATCTTAATGATGGACAAGAAATTTTTCTGTTTTTTTCTTTTTTTTTTTTTTCTATTTCACCACTCTTTCCTTTGTTGTCAGAGAAGAGTTATTTTTCAGAAATAGAGAAATAAGAACTGAGAGAGTTTATCATTAAGCTATCAGTAATATTTCAACTCCAAAAACCATTTGGGAAACTGTATTTAAAAGCTGCCAAGAAAATGGAAAAACAAAATTAAAGCAAGTCCTTAGACGGAACTAAGTATACTAGGCAAGGAAGAACGAATATCTCTAATTCTCATGTTTGGGGAATGAGATAGAGAAGGGGAGTAGAGACCATAAAGATGCCAAGCTTGCATGTCCTCCCTAATTAGCCTCTCCTTTTCCCAGGGCAGATGAGAGGATACTGGGTTAGATGGGTCACTGACAAGAAATGTCACTAGAACTTTTCTTATCACTGTGTGTTCAGATTAGAGTGAAAACCTATGTTTTTAAATTGAAATACAGAGTTGTCAGCAAAATAACTGTTGGTTTCAGTAGAATCAGGTTTTTGTCCTGTAATTCTGGCTATCTGTGCATATAGCTACAGCATGTAACAAAAGATATTTATAATCCTTAAAAACGCATTACTATACTGTGATTGTGCAGAACCATACTGAAATTGACTGCCTTGTAAGCCTTAAATTTAGTAACTCACAGATATGTACATCAGGTAAGGATCACCATCTCCTTTCGCAAACATGATATTCTTGTTCAAACCTCCTAGATTTTCTATCTGGCATCTAAACAAAAAACCTCACAGCAAGACTAGATAAGAAAGAACCTAGATTTATGAAAGAGTGAAATGATGTTCTATCATTTTTTAAACATATGTTAATATCCCTAAATTATATTGTTTGTGCCTCTGTACACTCACTGCGATGCTGAGCTGTGGTGCTCACAGGTACAGATGGCCCAGATGCCAGAGTCTGAATTCCTACACTTATCTACCATATGCAAACTTTTTAACTAAATAATTTTAACAATTAAAGTGAGACAATGAGCAAACAGTATTTTGCTGCTGATGTGCACTGAGCAGTAACTTGAATTAATAATTAACCTTTAACGTACAGTAAATTAATATTTTCACTACTAGAGTGGTCTTTAGTACTATACTATATCTGTAGGTAAAAACAGCTTACCTGAATAATATGTTTCAGCTTGTCAATAATTTGACTTATTACAGGATCTGTTCCCTTCACTTTTACTTCTGGATTTGCAGACTGAGCTTTGATTCCACTGCCAACCACACGATGAGTATAGCTAGTTTAATACACAAACACACACACAAAGATGGTTTAGTAAGTTATTCTACTCTCAGAGACACATCTTCTAGTTTGTATTCATTCTCACCAACATTCCACTTTAATGAGATGCATTAATTTTGTGCACATATTTTTCACAGAAAAGAAATACAACATAGTATAATTACTACTTTACACAAAGTTGTATTATTTATTATAGCTTTAATTTTACTACAAACTTTAACAAGAAAAAAGTTATCTACATTTTGAAGCAACAAACATTCAGCCCTGTGCCTGGTTTCTTGTGTGTACAAAGACTGTCCTTCATTTTGGTTTTGCTAAACACAAACTACATGATGATTGCCTAAATGCCTGACATTTCAGGTTTTTATAACAAACTCAAGATTCTATACTGTATGTTCAGAACTACACCTGAAGTTTCCTAGTGTTTTGTGAATTCACATGCAGATAGGATATTTACTTCGGGACAGCAGCCAAATTGTGCATAAGTTATTAAGCATTACATAACTGATATAAGTACAGAATAGATATGTAAGAAAGAAGCAACAGAAACCAGTTATATGCTCATTCAAGAAAGAACTGCTGTAGTAAAACATTGTTTCTAATATATCAAAACTCAAAATACATAGACTAAAATTAACCACCTAGCAGAATTCTGTGACTTATTAAGATGTAATTCTTTATTCAACTTCCCATGTTATATGTAATGCTCAAGTTATGCAAGAAAAACTGAGTATCTACCTTCTCATCACAGATACTGTACATTATGCAAATACCCTCCATATGTTGGGCTTTGTCTGCATACCCTACAAAAGGATAGCTCTATATATCTCTGTCTCAAAAATATTTTGCCAGCTGTTATTCTGTAAAAAAAAGAAAGAAAAGAACCCTAACAGGAATAAAGAAATGCCTAATTCCTGCCTATTAGATCTGCATATGAGCAAAGACAACACAGTATATTCAAATTTTGCAGAATCTGTTTTATGAAAAACATTTCAGGTCCTCTTAGCTCTGCAGAAAACCTTACATGTGTGCTAAACAACTAATACTGTTCATTAAAATGAGGTTGCCACATAACAATGATATTTTGTCTTTGAAATATCACCTTAAGTGAGACTGACGATATTCCTAAGGAAGTTTACATGGACCCAGATACCATTCCTAAAATGACATTGGCCATGCACATAGATATAAATTATCCCTATCATACAAAATGACTCTAAGTTTTCCATAGGTCACAGAGAGCACTATCTGTCTTCTATATGTGTGACAAAAATTAGTAGTTCCTTTAGCCATTACAAAAAGACACTTTTTAAACTACATGTTTCGCAAAATGCTCCAAAAGTGAGCTAATTCTAAGGATCAGCAAAATTTTCCTGGAAGTATCAAGATCTAGCAGTCTTTCAGTGCTTAGATCCTTTAAAGCATTTGGTTTTGCACAGTAAATACTAAAATTCTAGACCTTCTACATACAGCTCTACATGTGCTATTTAGGCCAAGTGTACTCTATTTCTTCTGCAAGCAATCAAGTTCACTGGAAGCAGATATAATATAAAATTTAAATTCAATTACATATCAAGATATCACAGCAATGATCACCTAGGATTAGTCACAAGTTAAAGATTCCAGATTTATTCATTCTTCATTTGAGAAAATAGTCAGCTGTATCCAACATTCAGGACACACTGTATCAGCTAAAGGTAAATACTAAAAATAATAAGCTCATTACTGAAGGCCATTATGGAACCCTTTACGGATTCACTAGCAATACTATTACTTGGAATGGATGTTAACGCTGCACAATCAGGACAGCAAGGCTTAATGTACTTAATGTAGTTCATTGGAACATGGTAGTTGAGTTTAAAAAAACCCTTCATAGCACTGTTGAATACACTGAATATATGAATGGCTCATATTGTTCATAAAATGGTATATTGGTTTATAGCAGAGAGATTTTTGTGCTGTCTTGTAGTGAGAGGGCAATTTGCCAGTTTGTAGTGTTGGGGTAAAGTAGCTGGGTGTGTACAAAATCTGCAGTGTGCCTACTTGACTTGGGAGAATGTTTAACGCAGTAATTTGAGTAGGATCAAAAAATCTTCTGGTAGTTTCTAAAGATAAAACAAAACAAAACAAACAAACTAAAAGAAAAAAAAAAAAACAACAAACAAACAAAAAAACCCCATAAAAACTAAAAACCTTCTCCAAGGTTTTCCTCAAAACTCCTTCTTTCCCAGTCATTTGTGCAAATCAAAATAGATAATTCAATATGGAATTCATTCCTTCCTTCCCCTTTCCAGCTGAACAATACTGCACTTACCAGCTGGACAACAGTTGTAACTCATCACAGTGGTTTAGTGCAATACAGCAATTTCTCTTCATACTATAACACTATAAAAAAAAAATCTTAAAGGTTATGGCTACCTTTTCTGTACGGTGCTCTCATTTTCTGTTTCACAGCATGCAAAACCTATGTTCTCACTTTCTGTCACTCAGAATCTTCAATTAACACCTTTTTTCAAATGCTGCAAACCCAACTATTACACATTTGCCTGTGAACTGCATAACTATGTAAAAAAAAAAAATACCCTTTCTCTTTGAATTCAGTCAATAGTCATTTCTTAAACCATGCAGGAAGAAACAAACCATAGAGAAGCTGAGACTTGTCTAGGCTACAGTTTTATTAATTTAGCTTATCTGGGAATTAAAACCTTCAGAAATGCACTGACTTCCCCTAAAACAGTTCAAAACCTGTTCTGTGACAACTGACACATTTCAGCCCATCCACCTGACATTTTTGTTTGTTACAGGCCCCACCAGACCCCAAATAACACACAAGACTATATCTATAACAAAAACTTTGGGTCCAGGACTGGTATAATCACTACTGAATTCAAAGGTCTGTGGTTTATCCTCGGGTCTACTAGATGTTTACCACATTCCCCAGCTTGATCCTTAAACAAGTTGTTACTTCTCTCTCTCTCCAGAAATCCTTATGCTTTTGAAGTGCTGGTTTATTCCAGTTTTGTAAAGGTTTTACTCCTTCAGGAGTTTTTAATTTTATATTCAGGGAGAATCCAATGTTGAAATTAATCTTCCAAGTTCAGGATGCTAATTTTCACCCAGGAACAAGCCTTATAAAGCATTACATATGGAAAATAAAGAGGTAAATATCAAAAGTTAAGATTCATTTGGATGGAACAAAAAGAATGCAATCCCATTTGGAAGAATGCAATCCCATTTGGAAGATTTTGGTAATGGAAACTTCCTGCAAGTCTGACAGAGCCAATGCCAGCTGGCTCCAAGATGGACCCACCGCTGGCCAAGGCCAAGCCCATCAGCAATGGTGGTAGCACCTCTGTGATAACGTATTTAAGAAGGGGGGAAAAACTGTTGCTCAAGACAAGCAGGAGGAGAGGAGTTGAGAATATAAGAGAAACAACTCTGCAGACACCAAGGTCAGTGAAGAAGGAGGTGCAGGAGGTGCTCCAGGCACCTGAGCAGAGATTCCCCTGCAGCCTGTGGTGAAGACCATGGTGAGGCAGGCTGTGCCCCTGCAGCCTGTGGAGAGCCATGGTAGAGCAGATATCCACCCGCAACCTGTGGAGGACTCCATGCTGGAGCAGACTTATGTGCCCAAAGGAGGCTGTGACCCTGTGGAAAGCCAATACTGGAGAAGGCTTCCGGCAGGAACAGTGATCCCGTTAAAAGAATCTGGAGCAGGTTTGCTGTCAGGACTTGTGAACCTGTGGGGGAAGCCTTCACTGGAACAGTCTGTTCCTGAAGGACTGCACCCCATGGAAAGGACCGACACTGGAGAAGTTCATGAAGAGCTGCAGCCCGTGGGAAGGACCCATGTTGGAGTTCATGGAGGTCTATCTCCCTTGAGAAGGACTCAATGCTGGAGCAGGGGACAAGTGTGAGGAGGAAAGAGCGGCAGAGACAACCTGTGATAAACTGACCAGCACCCCCATCCCCTGTTCCCCTGCACTTCTCAGTGGCAGAAGGTAAGGAAATTGGGAGTGAAGTTGAGCCCAGGAGGAAGGGAGGGGTGGAGGGAAGGTGTTGTAAGATTTGGCTTTATTTCTCATTACCCTACTCTGATTTGACTGGCAATAAATTAAATTAATATCCCAAGACAAGTCTGTTATGCCGGTGATGGTAATTTCTGAGTGATCTCTCCCTGTCCTTATCTCAATCCATGAGCATTTTGTCATATTGTTCTCCTCCTGTCCAGCTGAGGAGGGGAGTGACAGAGCTGTTTTGGTGGGCACCTGGAATCCAGCTGGGGTCAACCACCACACCAAGTTTGACAATACTGTCTTTGTGTACCAGTTCACATCATAGATGCTGAACATTTTTCATGTGATGTTGCATTGCTAAATGATGGTGAATACACTCAACATACTGAAGTAAGTAAATGCATGTTTGCCTTTTCTCCTGTTATTGGAAATACTAATCCATATTAAATTTGTTTTCACTGCAAGGAGATCTAACTTTGATCAATTGACATTAAAAACTATCATTTAACTTTGAGTCTTTTGTAATTATAGGCTCTGACAAGTCACAAGGCAGGTTGAAAACCCTTTTCTTTCTTCAGGTGTATAATAAGGCATTGACAAAGCTTTATGAAATATTTCTTTATCGATTCTTATCATGAAAGTAAGATTACAGAATTCAACCCCTTTTTGTTTAATCTACTCTTTTCCTGTTTGAAATTATATCTTTTGCATACAGAAATTATAAACTTACTTATATGTTGTTATTTTCCACATATCATTGCGTTTCATTAACAAAGGTCTATAAATCTAACATCTTCAAACATTCTAATGTGAACTAAATGATCTGTCAGAGCTAAATGGGCTATTGTGAATCTGAGCATAGTACACAAAACTTCATCCCCATAGACTTACATTTACATGCAAAATATGTTTTTCTTTAGGTGGGGGAAAAAACATAAAAAACTCAGACTCTTGGTTTGAGAAACTTAATTCATTATGA